TATAACACCAGAGCTCCTGCTTAATCAATAGGGGGTGGGTGCATAAAAAATGATACAGCCACAATGAGGTAGACTATGCACCTGTTTTTTAAAAATGTGGTAGATCTGTGTGTATTAATATGGAAAGATTTCCAAACTGTCTTATTGGAAACAGATCCTAACACAAAGATTCAAGAGCAAGTAGTTTGCTCTGGGAGACTTTGCATGTCTCTAAATTGTCTGACCTCAGAGACGAGGGAACTGTCATTTGTTGAGGCCTGTTCCTGGGAACTTTTAATCCTTTGGCACTTCCAGCCTGCCACACAGGTGGGAAAGTAAGCATTGGTGACCAGACAAAGCCTTTGGGCAAAGAGTTGCAAGTTCTGGCAACTGGCCATTGGGCTGGCGTGCATTGATGTGGTAAGAATGGTGACATCTGTGTGGGTGGAACACTGGCAGCATCTGCTATGGGTGTCGTGAGAAAGAAGGGAGAGAAAGAGAGAGGGAGGATGGGAGACAGAGATAGGAAAGGAACAAAGAGAAATCAATGATCATCCAACCAATCAGATAGCCTAAATGTGTTTACTCAATTGTCAATCTATTTACTTACTTATTTAAATACATAGAAAAGGGACTGGAAGGTTGCAAAGCAAACTGCTGGTCACTGTAGCTTTGGAGAAGGGGAATGGGAGTAGGAGTTATAGAAATGAAGAAGGATCATACATATATTTGCACATTGCTAAGGTATTGTTTAAGAGCTCTGGTGGAATAGTGGATAAAGGACTTGACTGCTAACTAGAAGGTCAGCAGTTCAAACTCACCAGCTGCTCTATGGAAGGAAGACTGGGCGATCTACTTCCAGAAAGATTTAGAGCCTCAGAAACCCAATGAGATTCACTATGAGTCAGCAATTACTTGATGGCAGTGAGTTTGGTTTTGGTTTAAGGTACTGTTTACAATGATAATACATTCATGTACTATTTCTATAATTAAGTCAAAAAAGAAAAAAGAAGGAAAAGAATAAACACTACATAGTATTTAAAACAACAACAACAACAACACATTGCCATCTAGTTGGATCCGACTCATAGTGACCCCTCTTTGGGTTTCCGAGGTAGTATCACTATGGAAGTAGATTGCCCAACCTTCCTTCCCAGGAGGAGCTGGTGAGTTTGAACCGCCAGCCTTCTGGTTAGCAGTCGAGTGCCTTAGGCACTATGCCACATGCTATGCTGTTGTTGCTGTTATGTGCCATCGAGTCAGACCCGACTCATAGTGACCCCCCACCTTGGTTGCCAAGGCAGTATCACTACAGAAGTAGATTGCCCCGTCTTCCTTCCGAGGAGTGGCTGGTGGGTTTGAACCGCCAGCCTTCTGGTTAGCAGTCAGATGCCTTAGGCTCTATGTCACCAGAGCTCCTGCCACATGCTATAGGGACACTTAAAAAAGAAGAGTAGATTTGGCCCCAGAACATTCTACTGCATTTTATTGCTCAGTTAGTATTTCACCTTAGTTTAGTGGGATAAAGGTAAACATGCTTCTTATTGTGTATTAATATTTATTTTTAAAAGAAATATAAGCATACCATTTGGAAAATGGAATAAACATTTCAAAGAAGTTATCCATGATAACCTTTTTTTTTTTTTTAACTTTCTATTGAGATTTTGGAGAAAGCTTATAAAGCAACTTAGTTTTCCATTCAATACTTTATTTACATTTTGTGTCATGACCTTGGCTGCAATCCTTACAACGTAACAGCAGTCATTCCACTTCCTCCCTGTGATCCCCACTTCCCTTCATCCTTGTTCCTGCTCCTTCCTGCCTTCTGAACTTTGTCTCTGGGCAAATGCTGCCCTTTCAATTTGCTATAGTTGGTTGGTCTAAGGAGTGCGACCTCCCTGGTGCTACTGTTCACCTTATAGACCTGTCTGTCGTTTGGCTGAAAGTTGACCCATGGGGGCAAGTTTAGTTTCATGCTTGAAGGGGGACTAAAGGCCATAGTCTTGGGAGTCCCACCAGTCTCTATCAGACTAGTAAGCCTATTCTTTTTTTGTGATTTTGAGTTTTGTTCCACATTTTTCTCCCACTCTATCTGAGATCTTCTATTGTGATCCCTTGCAGAGTGGTCAATGGTGGTAGCCAGGCACCAATTATTTCTTCTGGTCTCAGGGTTGTGGAGACTGAGGTTCGCGTGGTCCATTAGTCCTCTGGAATAATTTTTTCCACACATCTTTGATTTTCTTCACTCTTTGCTCCAAATGAGGAGAGACCAATAGTTGCACCTTAGACGGCCACTCACAAGCATTTAAGATCCCAGTAGTTACTCACCAAGGTAGGATGTAGAACATTTCCTTTGTGGGCTGTGTTGTGCCAACTGACCTTGATGTCCCCTGAGACCATGGTCCTGAGCCCCTAGGCCCAGCAACTCATCCCTTCAAGGTGTTTGAGTCTGGCTAAGAAGTTTTCACAACTGTGCCCCCTGGATGCTCTACTATATTCATGGATATATGTGCAGCACGTACAGATACATGTGTAGAAATATCCTCTGTCAAACCCGTATACATTCATAGGTGCAGTCCCGTTCACCTTCTCACAGCTGTTAAGCTTGCATATCTATGTATCCGCTCATAGATTGCTATTTTGCATGATTGTGTATGGACTAGTATTTACCTCTGTTGCTGTGAACTCTTGTCCTCCTCCTAGTGTCTTCCTTTGCCTGGATCATTTTGTGCTGACCCCCCCCCCCCATTACTGCCTATTGCTTCTCCCTTCACCCAAGTTTAATCTGTCTCTATCATTTAGTAAGTGATTGACCTTCCCTTCCCCTCCACCCATGGTAACCATCAAAGAAGGTTTCATTCTCTGTGTAAGCCTTTCCTTGACTTTCTACAGTAGTGGACTCATATGATATTTGTCCTTTTGTGATTGCCTAATTTCACTCAACATAATGTCCTCCAGGTTCATCATGTTATGAGGTGTTATGCCACTGTTATTTCTTGACATTGCATACTATTCCATTGTGTGTATGTACCACAGTTTGTTTATCCAGTAATCTGTTGAGGCGCACTTAGGTTGTTTACATCTTTTTGCTAGTGTGAATAGTGCTGCGATGAACAGGGGTGTGCACATATCTATTTGTGTTCCAGTTCTCATTTCTTAAAGATATATACCTAGGAGAAAGATTGCTGGGTCAAATGATATTCTATTTTCAATTTTCAAAGGGAGCACTATACTGTTTTCCATGGAGGTTGCACCATTGTACAGTCCTACCAGCAGTATATGAAAGTTTCAGTCTCTCCACACCCTTGCCAAAAAAAAACCACAAAAACCTAACTCATTGCTATTGAGTTGATTCTGACCCATAGTGACCCCCTTTGGGTTTCTGAGGCAGTAAATCTTTACAGAAGTAGACTGCCCAGTCTTCCTTCCATGGAGCAGCTGGTGGGTTTGAACTGCCACCCTTCTGGGTAGCAGTCAAATGCCTTAGGCACTACACCATCAGAGCTCTACACCCTCACCAGTAGTTGTTATTTTCTGTTGTTTTGAACTTTGCTCTTAATGCTGGGGTGAGATGGTGTCTCATTGTTGTTTTGATTTGCATCTCTCTCATGGCTAATGATTACAAGCATTTCTTTCTTTGTTTGTTGGCCACCTGAATATCTTCTTTGGTGAAGTGTCTGTTCATGTCCTCTGCCCATTTTTAAATTGGATTATTTGTCTTTGTTGTTGAGGTGTTAAAGTTTTGTATAAATCTTAGAGATTAGTCCCTTGTCCAATATGCTGTTGCAAAAGAAAAATTTTCCCAGTGTGTAGGTTCTCTTCTTATGAATTCTCTTTTTAAAGAATTCTATTTTGGTGAATCCTTTTGATGAGCATAAGTGTTTAATTTTTAGGGGGACCTAGTCATCTAGTTTGTCTTCTGCTCTTTGTGTATATTTAGTTATATTTGATAGTGCATTTATGCCATGTATCAGGGCTCCTAAATTTGCCTCCATTTTTTCTTTGATGATCTTTATAATTTAAGGCTTTATGTTTAGGTTTTGATTCATCTTGAGTTAGTTTTTGTATATGGCGTGAGATATAGATCCTATGTCATTTTTTTGCAAATGGTTATCTGGTTTTGCCGGCATCATTTGTTTGAGAGACTATCTCTTCCACATTTAATGGATTTGGGCCCTTTGCTGAAGATGAATCACAATTTATTGAATAAAATAGAAATCTCCAAGTCCATACTGAATAGTAAATATGAGAAGGGGAAGTTCTTCCTTACGGTACAATGTTAGCTAAAAAATATAGAAGGGATAATGGAAATAAAAAATATCATTTGGTTACCATCCTAGTGGTGGTTGCTTTGGACAGAACTAGTCAGTGGGTGCTAAAACTGGAAGTGAGAAGTTCTAGGGGGAACAGGATATTGGGATAATCTCTGAATGTTTCCCCCACAAAATACTTATTTATCAAAAATGGAAAAATGTTAACCTCAGGGGGAGAAATCTGTCAGATGCCAACGTGATCAGGGGATGAAGATCACAGTTGCCGGCCATGGGAGGGATGGTATCACATGCCCCCAAGGAACTCAGCATCATTTCTGTGATATTCCTGCCAAGAACACATAACCCAAGTCTTGAGACAAGGAAACATCAGGTAGACTTAGGGTGAGGGGTGTCATACAGAATCAAAAATCTCTACTCTTCAAGATTCCTAAGGACATGAAGGAAAGGGAAAGCCTGGGGAACTTTCTAGATGGAAGTCAGTCATAATCCAATCACTGTATTTCCCCCAAGATTTGCATATGAGACTCATTTGGGGAGTTAGTTAAAAATGCAGATTCCAGGGCCCCACCCGTGGGAATCTGACTGGGGCCTGGAGATCTGCATATTTGGCCCTCATCCCAGGAAATTCTTATGTAAGTGGTCCACAGACCACACTGGGAGGAATGGTGGTCTAGAGATTCAGCAGATGGTAACCATCCTTCCATTCAGCCTTTTCCTCAATGCCCTTTCTATCTCTTTGCTTCCCAGGGTGACACTATACGCTGAGTTCCTTCCCATGAAAGCCAGAGCGAAATGCATTTTGCTGATTGAGGTAAGAAGGAGGGCCCTGGGTCTCTAGAGAATGCTGAGTCTCTGACACGAGAGTGTCAAGTGTAAGGTGACTCTCAGGGAGCTAAGGAGAATAGAGCAGAGTCAGTGCACACCGACTTCAATGGGTCAGCGTTCTTTGTGCTGCTGTAACAGAACAAGCTGGCTTACAACGTAGCTGCCACAATCAGGTAGTCGATGCTGACATGGCGGTTTTGCAATATGAACACATTTTTTTTTAATTGACAAAGACATCTACCATCTCCCTTTAAAGAATGGAGGCAGATGTGTGGTACATGCTTCTTGAATTGGAAATGGCTTTTATCTAAGAGTTGGTGCTGACCCGTATAGCTGAATGGACCAAACTCCTGCCTATGTCCACATCACCAATCCTCATCCCTGTTCTCACCCAGACTGGCCTTTGTCTTTGTCACAGCTCTGTTCTTGGCTGCCACTGTGCCCTGTGTTGTTAGCTGCCATCAAGTCAGCTCCCTACTTACAGTGACTCTACGCCTAATGGAACAAAATGTGGCCCAGTCCTGCCATCCCCACAATAGGTTGGGGACCAGACCACTGTGATCCATAGAGTTCTCACTGGCTGATTTTCTGAAGTAGATCACCAGCCCTTTCTTCCTAGTCCATCTCAGTCTGGAACTCTGCTGACATCTGGTCAGCATCATAGCAACACGCAGGCTTCCACTGATGGACCAGTGCTGTTGTTGTTGTTGTTGTTATGTGCCATCGAGTCAGCCCCAACTCATAGTGACCCCTCCTTGGGTTTCCAAGGCAGTATCACTACTGAGGTAGATTGCCCCATCTTCCTTCCGAGGAGTGGCTGGTGGGTTTGAACCACCAGCCTTCTGGTTAGCAGTCAAGTGCCTTAGCCACTACGCTACCAGCCGTGGCTGTACAGGGGTTGAATTGGTTGGGAAGTGAACCCAGGTTCCCCACATGGAAGGCAAGAATTCTACCACTGAACCACCACTGCCCCCCTGTGGCCTAGAGTCCTTCCTTCAACACTCCTTCTGCCTGGATCGTGGGATCCATTTTCCAAGCAGGCTCTGAAAGATCTCACCGCAAGGGCCCTTCCCCAAGCAGGGGAGAATGCTTTAATTGCTAGGCGATGCTTGGTAAAATAGAAGGAGAGTATAAAAACCCTCATCGGGATGGATTGACACAGTGGCTGCAATAATGGGCTCAAACATAACAACTGTTGTGAGGATGGTGCAGGACTGGGCAGCGTTTGGTTCTGTTGTACATTGGATCCCTGTGGGTCAGAACCGACTCGGTGGCACCTAAGAACAACACTCATGTCCACAGTAACAACCACTGTGACCACACTGAAAATCTTGATTACATTAACCCACAGACCCAAGTTAACTATCTTGATTGCATCCACGCTTGAGCCAATTAAGGCTCACAGTCAGCTGGGTGGATCAGTTATTGTAAATATTAAAATGCATCACTGCCAACAGGTCACAAACCCTGACTGCCCTTGTTTCTCGACACACTGTCCCTCTTAGGAACCCCTAGAACTCCCCGTGATCCAGCAACAAAAGAGTTAACTCCTGGCACAATGACTGTGGGCGGTTCTTAGACTCCCACACTCTGGCTGGCTTCTATTATTCTGATGGGTCAGTGTCCTTGCTGTACCAGTTGGTTGACATTTTGACTGTCACTCTTGGTTCTCAGCCACAAAATCAGACGGTGGTTAATTTAATCAAAAGGAGATTTAGGGTGGTTGGTTTAATCAAAAGGGGATTTGAAGGCCCCCGGAAGTGAGGAAGAAGCTGGAGGACCAAGTTCTGCAATGGACTGGAGATATATAGTAAAATGCTCCACAGAAAAGAGCATGCTCAAACTTGGATGGTTTGAGGGAGATTTAATAAAGGGTGTTAACTACCCTAGGCTTGAAGGGGCCAAACACAAACAAAAGCCAGTTGCTTCAGAGTCATTTCTCACTCACGGTGTTGCCGTGCATGTCAGAGTAGAACTATCTTTAATGACCAGAATTAGATCACTAGGCTTTTCTTCCACGGTTCCCCTGGGTAGACTTGAACCTCCAACTTTCCATTTAGCAGTCTCCTCATGGGGAATAACTACATCCAGCTGGTTACTTCATTTAGCAGCTGAGCACTTAAACTGTTTGCACTGCCCAGGGCTCCAAAGTGAGGGGCAAAAGGAGGGGGAAATTTGAAGCCCAAGAGAGAGTCCTATGGGGAGGGCCACATAACAGGAGCTATGACCTTCAGCTTATAGGTGGAGAGAGCCTATGACCAATCTGCAGGGAGGAAGCCAGGGGAATAAGTTCCCCAACCTGAAGCTCCTTCCTCCCTCCCTCCCATCTCCTACGTTGTTGTTGTTGTTGTTGTTGTTGTTGTTATGTGCCATTGAGTCAGACTCATAGCGACCCCTCCTTGGGTTTCCAAGGCAGTATCCCTATGGAAGTAGATTGCCCAACCTTCCTTCCGAAGAGTGGCTGGTGGGTTTGAATTGCCAGCCTTCTAGTTAGCAGTCAAGTGCCTTAGGCACTACGCTACCAGAGCTCCTCTCATCTCCTATAGAGCTCCCTATTTTCTGGACCCAACGGGAAGCCAGAGGACAAGGGAACCTGTAGATGCTGTCCACACAGAGAGCAAGGTGGGAAAAAATGTGGCAAATGACTCCAGAGAGGCAAATAGGTTTTCAGGGAAGAGGCAATTCTGATGAAGAGTACTGGGCATGTTGGGTGAAGGAGATGTATGTCAGCAGACAAAAACCCATGTGTCCACTACCATATGGGCTTCATACAGTATCGATCATATTAATCTCCTTAACCAGAGCTGCCACATTGCACAACCATAGGGTGGCATCATGCAAATATTATAGAGTGTGAATGGTATCCCAAGGAGATGGGCAACATGGCAGGTATAGTCTAACCATATAGGCCACAGGAAGTGGTAGCCATTCTGACCTTGCTGATCCCAGTGACCCAATGGGTGAGCATTCAGATGCCCTTGTTTTCAATGATCCTGTAAGTGTGTAACTATGTTCACTTGTGCTGCCCTGCCACTGACCCCAGTTTTCCCGTGCCAGGTCTTCTGGGCCATTGGGACCGTGTTTGAGGTGATCTTGGCCGTATTCGTGATGCCCACCCTGGGTTGGCGTTGGCTGCTCATCCTCTCTGCTGTTCCGCTCTTCCTCTTTGCCATCCTCTGTTTTGTAGGTATCCTTTAAGAGATCTCAGTGTTTGCTACCTGGCCCTCTGCTCTTCACCATCTTTTGGTTCCACCAACACTCTTGCTTCCCCTTCCATGGTATGGAAGGGGTAAAAGAGGCACCAAAGCCACTGTCTAAGATTCTTTTAAGTCAGGAGATGAGACAAGGGATCAGGGCCTGGGTAGGCCCAGTTTTGGGTGTTGTATTCCCTCCAGACTGACACTGCTGGGATGCTCTCTAGGGAGATAGCAGGGGATGGAGCTGTACCACTGCGTGATCTACACTGGAGGTGACTGTATTTAATTAGTTGGGATTCTTACATTGCAGGTGACTGAAATCCAATTTAAATTGTCTGTAACAAAGAGAGGAATAGGCCCTTTCTTAAATATCAGACTTCAGGTATGGCTCGTTCCAGGAGCTCAAATAATCTCTCCAACTTAGCTCTACACAAAACATATCCTCTAACAATATCACTTCACACATTTATCATTTCATGTGTACACCACATATCGAAAATACTTTATAACCAAAATAAGCCTGTAAGTGGATGGGTCTTCTCTGTGGTCAATACTACAATAATTCCTGGTAATGACAATAGGTTGCTGAGCCTAACTATGTGGCAGGCTTCGTGCATGCATTATCATATGTATGCCTCTCAATCATCTTATGAGGTAGAACTATGATTGTTGTTGTTGTTGTTGTTGTTGTTGTTTGCCGTCGAGTCGGCCCCGACTCATAGCGACCCCTCCTTGGGTTTCTGAGGCAGTATCACTACGGAAGTAGGATTGCCCAACCTTCTATGATTAGCCCTATGTTAATCAGGATGACACCAGCTGCTGTAACAAATAAAGTGCATAAATTCAGTTACATAACACAATAGGAGTTTATTTCTCACTCATCTAATAGTGCAGATGGGTGTTGTTGGTTGACAGGTGTAATTATTGTCCCAGGTTCCTTCCAGCTTGTGACTCAGCCAGCCATCTTCTAGTGTTTGGAATCTTCTGCATGCAGACAACAGACTGGGGAAGGGCAGGTGAAGATAGCATATTAACTCTTAAGTACCTTAGCCAGGAATAGTCTGCTTGTATGCCATTGGTGAAAGCAAATCACATGACCTCACCTAGCTGCAAGGTGGGCTGGGAAATGTAGTCCTTCCGTGAGCAGCCATTTCCCAAGACAACTCTATGGAAGGGAAGCAAGAATTTTGGTGGGCATTCACAATCTATGCTCCATCTCTGTTTGACTGATGAGGAAATGGAGGACCAGAGAGATGAATTGACTTGCCCAAGGATGCACAGAAAATAAGAGCCAGAACTATAATTTGAACCAGATCTTCTGACGCTGAGTCTTATGCTGTCTCTCTGCTTCACTAAGTCTGCTGTTTCACAGACTGCTATTGCTTTGTTTTTACAGAAATGTATCTTTCTTGTCACTTAGGGTGGGGACTCTATTAGGTCTGATTTCTTGGGCTGAATTTGCAAGGTGATGTAAGATGCACAGGTAGAGGATAGTTTCCTGAGAGAAGAGGATGAAACTTCTGGTAATAGTGGGCATCTTAACTGAATTGCCTTCCTGGGACTCTGAAAGTGACTACAGGTACCAGCAATAACAACAGTGATAACTGTATTAGCTACCATCTAACTCCTGCCAGACACTGTGCTAAGCATTTTGCCTGAATTATCTCATTTAATCTTCTCAGCAATCCTAAGATGTAGAATCTATTATTACCCTCATTTTATACATGAGGCAATGAGGCATAGAGAGGTCAAGTAATTGTTCAAGGTCGCACAACCAGTACAATAGATGGTACCCACTGCCATTGAGTTGATTCTGACTCATAGAGACTCCGATTGGGTTTCCAAGGTGCTAAATCTTTACGGAAGTAGATTGCTCCATTTTCCTTCTATGGAGCAGCTGGTGGGTTTAAATTGCCAGTCTTCTGGTTAGCAGTCAAATGCCTTAGGCACTATGCCACTAGAGCTCCTTAAAATAGATGGTAGAGACAGAATTTGAAGCCAAGCTTCTGGTTCCAGAGTCCTCAGTCTTTACAACTCCACACACAGATATTAGTGTGTGGCTGTGAGTCCGTGTTCTGTTCTGCCCTCACCGGGCACCCCCGGGTCTCCTGTCATCACAGTGGCTGCCGGAGAGTGCAAGGTATGATGTGCTGTCTGGGAACCAGGAAAAGGCCATCACGACCTTGAAGAGGATAGCAACAGAAAATGGAGCCCCCATGCCACTGGGGAAGCTCATCATCTCCAGACAGGTCAGTGCTGGGACCGACTCGTCGTGCATGTCTGTGCATGTAAGTGAACACATGCACACGGGGTGAGGCACATCTGTTTGTGAGCACATGCATAGGTGAGTGTGTGCACATGAGATGGGGTGTGCATGTCCATGAGCATATATGTGGTGAGCATGTGCACGTGTGACGGGTCTGTGTCTGTGAGCACACAGGTGGGTGAGTTTGTGCACATGGGATGAAGTATGTGTGTCTGAGCATACATGTGGGTACATGGAATGTGTGTGTATATCTGTGAGCACACATGTGAATGACCATGTGCACATAGGGTGGGGCATATGTGTTCACATGCATTCAGATAATCATGTGTACATGGAGTAGGGTGTGCATGTCTGTAAGCATACATGTGTGGGTAGCATATGTGTCTGTGGGCACACATGTGGGTTAACATGTATACATGGGATGGGGAGTGCACATCTATGAGCACACATATAGGTGAGCATGTGTACGTGGCATAGGGCATGAGTGAGCACACACATGGGTGAGTATGTGTACATGGGGTAGGGTGTGTGAGCATGTGCATGGGTAAGCGTATGCACACAGGGTGAGGCATGTGCATCTGTGTGTGTATATACCTGCGATGGGTGGGAAGCAGTTGGCCAGGACCTGCATAAGGAATTTGGACATTCTAATCTGTGTGTGCCCACCGCCAAGTCCTAAAAGCCCCACCTGGAGAACCTAGCCCATGGTTAGAGAAATGTCACGTCCCCTAATCAACCCTGGAACTACTCCTACGGGCACTGACTACTTTGGCTTCACTTTTCAGCACCTTTTGAATGGCACATGTGACTGATCGGCCGAGGCTATGAAATAAAACTACATTAAAAGCATTCCGATCTAGAGGACCAGTCCACACACTATTAATGGATGGGGGATTGCTCCCCTTGCAACATGATCAGGGGATCCACCATTGTAAAAAGGTGTGCGTGTTCATGTGTGTGTGTGCAAGTGCATCTGTGAGTGAATATGTTTGTGTGCTGGAAGAAGGGGTATAGGTTCTAGGCTGTAGTCCCTGCCCTCAGGGATTACCCAGTGCAATACATCATCTGATGTCTTGACTGCTGCTTCCATTGGTGTTGATTGATGATTAGATGTATTAACATTTAGAGCAATTTTGATATTTATAAATTTATAAACCCATTACTTTCAAGTAGACTCCAACTCATGGTGACCCCAGGGGCAGAACTGTGCTCCATAGGGTTTTCAATGGCTGATTTTTCAGAAATATGTCATCAAGCTTTTCTTCTGGGTGGACTTGAACCAAGCCCCCCCCCCCCACCTTTTGGCTGGAAGCTGAGCATGTAATTGTTTGCATCACGCCAGGTTTTCAATATATAATAGAAATATTATGTTTGTATTTGCTAAATATATTCAGAAAGAATATTCCTTAAAACATGTTTTTGGTAAAATGATACATTTGGCAAATTAAGTCAGGAAATTGGCTCTTCCAGGCTGTGAGTCTTTACAAAAGCAGACTGCCACATCTTTCTCCCCTGGTGCAACTGGTGGGTTGCCGACCTCTGGTTAGCAGCTGAGCTCTTTAACTGCTGTGCCACCAGGGATCCCTTTGTGTTTAAGTAAGCCAGCATTCCTCAAAATGCGGCTGAGAAAATATGTTCCTTAAATATATCTAAGAATAAGATGTTCATATTTACTAAGTATATTTTTTAAAGAACATTGTAAAGCAATGATTGTTAAATAAATTGTCGTTAAGTGCCATTGAGTCGATTCCAACCCATGTGACAGACTTGAACTGCCCCGTAGGGTTTTCTAGGCTGTAATCTTTACAGAAGCACATTGCCAGGTCTTTCTCCAGTGGAGTTGTTGTGTGGGTTTGAACCACCAACCTTTTGGTTAGTAGCTGGGTGCTTGGCTGTTGCACCACCAGGATTCTTTGGTGAATAAGTAAATCCTGAAAATTTGTCAGTGGGTTGTTTAGTTACTCAGTCTTTTAGCAAACTGGTGAATTGATTTCCAGCACCTTGACTTAAAGCCAGCTTTGTGTGTGAGATGGTTGGATACCCCCAGACTGGTTTTTGCTCCCTGAGCTGAAGCCAGAGGGGTTCAGGCTGGAGGGGTCTGCTTCCTAGCTCCAAATACAGAGCAGGTGTATGTGTGTGTGTGCACGCGCATGTGCGGACATCGGCTCCATCCTTCAGGAGTCAGGTTCCCCAGTTACAGTGCTGTGGATTTGAGTGCTGGGTCCTGGGGCCCCACTTGCCCTACCCATGAGAAACCTCCCTCTCAGCAGTGGGTGCCCCTGGTCTCAGGCCACTGGTCAGCTGTACCTTGCTTCTGCAGTGAGCAGAGTAAACAGTGTGTCTTTGTCTTGAAACAGGAAGACAGAGGCAAGATAAGGGACCTTTTCACGCCTCAGTTCAGGTGGACAACTTTGTTGCTGTGGTTTATATGGTAAGAGCTGTTTGTTGCTCACTTTTACCCCTTTCTATGCTGCCCTGTTCTGGGTTTTGTTGTAGTGTGAAGCTCAGAGAACACTTGCATCTTTTATTTGTTTGCAAAATTAATTTGTCTGGGCATCATTTTCCTGCCTTATCTAGGTATCACCTGTTATTTAAAAAAATCTCTTTCTTCAATTTAATGCACATTTTATGCAGTCAAGTCTATTTTTAAAGGAAATTTCCTATCTGTATTTTAAAGGGAAAACCTAAATTGCAGGTCATAAATAAAAGATGCCCTTAAAGATGTGCCATCAAGTTGATCCCAACTCATAGTGACCCAATAGGACAGAGTAGAACTGCTCCAGTGGGTTTCCTAGGCTGTCATCTTTATGGGAAGCGGCCCTGGTGGTGCAGTGGTTAAGCAGTCATTTGCTAACCCAAAGGTTGATAGTTTGAACCCACCAGCTGCTCCACGGGAGGAAGATGGGGCAGTCTGCTTCCATAAAGATTATAGCAGTTCTACCTGTTGTATGAGTCAGAATTGTGACTTGACAGGCCACAGCAATATCCTACAACCTCCTTCCTCCTCACTCACTTCAAGAGCCCCAGTAAGGCCTCCATAGGCCCAGTATGGCCTGGGGCCAAAGACTCATCCCCAATACTGGACATACAAGTCCCTCCTTGTTGTTGTTGTTGTTGTTATGTGCCGTCGTGTCGGACCCGACTCATAGCGACCCCTCCTTGGGTTTCTGAGGCAGTGTCTCTAGGGAAGTAGATTGCCCCGTCTTCCTTCCGAGGAGTGGCTTAGGGGATGAGAAAAGAGGACTTGCGTTTCTACATTCATTCATTTCCTGACCTTTCTTGCTTACTTCCTGGCAGGTTTTCCAATGCGTTTTCTTATTATGGATTAGTTTTGCTCACTACAGAGATTTTTCAAGCAGGAGACATTTGCAGCAGTGAGTATCGCAAACCTCCTCACCACCAGACACCAGTTGTATTTCTATGGGCAAGAATCATTTGCATAACTATCAGAATTCTTTAATTTGCCACTGTAAAATAGCTCAGAGGAACTGGATGGTGCAGTGGTTAAGCATTCAGCTGCTAACCGAAAGGTTGGTGGTTCAAACCCACCTAGTGCTCCAGGGGAGGAGGACCTGATGGTCTGCTCTTGTAAAGATCAAAGCCTAACAACCCTGTGGGATAGTTCTGTTCTGTCACATGGGTCACCACAAGTTGAAAATTGACCTGACGGCACCTAGCCACAGCCATGGAGTCAATTCAACTCCTAGTGACCCTATAGGACAGAGTAGAACTGCCCCACAGGGTTTCCAAAGCTGTGAATCTTCACAGAAACAGACTCCCTCATCTTTCTCCCACAGAGCGGCTGCTGGGTTTGAACTGCTGACCTTTCAGTTAGCAAGAGTGCTTATCCACTGTACCACCAGGCTCACAACAAAATACTGAAAGACAATGACAGGCAGACATAAGCCACAAGTGTGCACTGTTGTTGTTAGGACCGCCCCATAGGGTTTCCTAGACTGTCATCTCTACAGAAGCAGATTGCTAGATCTTGCTCTGAGAGAACCATTGGGTAGATTCAAACCACTAACCTTTCAGGTAGCAGCTAAATGCTAACAATGGTTGTTGTACCACCAGGGGTCCTTCACGGGTGCACGAGACAGGACATTTTTGCCCATTTCAAAGTCTTTCACAGCACTTCCTGACAAAGAAAAACCACAGAACAGGGTAAGGAGGCAAAGGTTAGGAGTGTAAGGCAGAATCAGGGGCGGTGGGCAGGTGGAGCTTTAGGTAGGGAGGATTCAATGAGAAAGTGATGTTTAAAGAAAGACTTGAAGGAGGTAAGGCAGTTACTCATAGGACATAAGAACTGAAATACAGAAAGTACAAGTGGCCAGTGCAAAGGTCCTGAGACAAGAATGTGCATCACTTGTGGAAAGAACAGCCAGGAGACATTGTGGCAAGAGCAGAGGGAGCAAGAGAAGTAAAAGTCTAGATCAAAGGCATGATGGGCACCAGATCATTGAGGGCCTGGAGGCTTTTTCAGGACTTTGACCTTTACTCTGGCATGGGAGGTCATCAGAGTTGCAAGCAGAGGGTAATATGATCTGACTTAGGTTTTTTAAATGACAGAAATTTCTTATCTTACAGTTCTGCAATCACCAGTCTGTATACATTATGCACCCGATGACATAAATTTATAATTACCATCGTATGCATTTGTCTTTTTGAATCATGTAGGACATAAGTGCTAGAGTTACAAACCAAAAATACGTTAAAACTCACCCTTACACTTGCCTGTGATATTACACTTATCAGAGATTTGTTCCTTCTTTCCTACATCAGTAGTCTTCCAGTTCCTATTCTTTCAGTTCTCCCTGAAGATCTCTCATTACATTTCTTGTGAGGCAGGTCTAGTAAGCACAAACTCTCTCAACTTTTGTTTACCTGAGAATGATTTAATTTGCCCTCATTCTTGTAATAGTTTTACCAGATTTCTGGTGAACAGTTCTTTTCTTTCAGCATTTTGAATGAATATATATATCTATCTATCTCTATCTCTGTCTCTACATCTACATCTACATCTAAATCTACATCTACATCTACATCTATATCTATATCTATATCTGACTGAGGTTTGAAGAGGACCCCTCTGGCTGCAGTTTTGGAAATAGACTGTGACAGGAATGGGTGCAAGTATAGAAACAGTAGAGTAGCTGGGAGCTATTGCAGTAATCCAGGAGAGAGATGAGGATGCTTAGGCCAGGGTGGTAGCAGTGGGAATGCTGAAAAGCATCCCTTCCTACTCTAAAGATTTTGAAGGTTGAGCCAACAGGATTTGCTGATAGATTGATTATGGAGTAGAATGCAGAGAGGAGTCAAGAATGCCTTCAGGGCTTTTTACTTAACTAACTGGAAGCAAGGAGGTGCCACCATCTGAGATGGGAAAGCTGTGGGAGGTGCGGTTTTGGGGTACACTCACCCTTTCAAAATCTCATCTGTTAAATGACTGACTTAGGCAGATGTTACCCCTCTATCATCAAAAGGTCAGCCCTATGTTTTAGGGGTAAAGAAAAATCTGTAATACAGCAATGTGGAGTTCATCCTTCACTATTCATTCATCCAGGAGTGAGACTCTTACTGCCATTCCCTCTTCAGCCACCAGATGCCACTTGATTCAGTTTCAATAAAGGGTGAGAGGTGATGGAGATCAACAGTAATGAGCATGCACTGGTTACCTCTTACACATAACAATATTACTACAAATTGGAAAAACAAAAATCATGTTAAGCCAATAAAAGAAATTGATGGAAGTTTATTTAATAATATGATTTGCAAATTAGGGCAACATTTCCAACTAAAAAGCCAAAAATCTAAACCTACTGCCATCGAGTTGGTTCCAACTTGTAGCAACCCTAGAGGACAGAGAACAACTACTCCATAGGCTTTCTAAAGCTGTAAATCTTCACGGAAGCAGACTACCTCATCTTTCTTCTGCAGAGTGGCTGGTGGGTTTGAACTGCTGACCTTTGGGTTAGCAGCTGAATGCCTTAACCACTGTGCCAAAAATGTCCCAAGAAGAAAGATCTTTTACAGATGCTTATGTTCCCTCTTATTGCTGGTAATTATACATTGCCATGGAAACAGGGCCAGAACAGAGTTGATAAAACCATTTGTAGTCATGCAGCATTTTCTTAAAAAACAATTAAAATAATTACTGGTTGACCTTAAATCATAGCTTCTAGACTGACCTTTGGAATTGCTGCTTGTCAAAACTGACTATAATAGATAGTTACTTAAAGGTGACTTTTAAGAAACCAGTTTTCTCAAGATGTTTCAAAATCTCAGGGAGATAGTTTTGGTGGGTCATTTCAGCCTTCATAAAACCCAGAAATGTGAATTTCATAAGAGTTAAAAACTCCATTTCTCAAAACAACACACATTTATTGTCTCAGTTTCTGTGGGTCAGCAGTCTAGCACAGCAGTCTAGCACAGCTTAGTTGAATCCTCTGCTAGGCTGCAATCAAAGACTCAGCCAGGACTGGGGAATAATACACTGTCCCACACATATGGTCTCTGGAAGTATGAAATTCCTTGTGGTTGTAGGACTGGAAGCCCCAGGTTCTTGCTGTTGTTGACTGATGGCTGCTCTCAGTTCCTGGAGGACATCCTTGGTTCATTGCCATGTGGCCACCGGCATGGCCCTTTGCCTCCTCCTAGTCATCAAGGGACACAGTGAGACACAGTCCTAGCAGGATGTACATTCCAATCTTATGTAGCAGGTTTGCATTCACATAATCACCCATCACCTATGCTGTATTTTATTGGTTAGAAGCAGGTCACCAGGTCCACCCACAATCAAGGGGAGAGAAATCACACAAGGGTGTGAATGCCAGGAGGTGGGTGTCTTAGCTCCCTAGTGCTGCTGTGACAAAAATTCCACGTGGGAGTGGCTTTCAAGAAGAGGAATTTATTGTCCTCACAGTCTTGGAGGCTGGACGTCCAAATTCAGGATGTCGAGAGGGCTCCAGTCTCCCCTCTCCCTGTCTGCTCTCTGGGAAAATCCCTGTCTCTTTCACCTTCCGTGGCCACGGGTGTTTCTTGATATTCCTTGACTTGTAGATGATTGTCACATGATGTCTCCCCCCATGTATCTTCATCTCTGTGTCTGTACTCCCCCTTATAAAACACCACTGAGATGCAATTGGGTTTAGGATCACCCCGCTCTACTCTGGTTTGACATCATTAATGTAACAAAAGAAAAGCTTTATGTCCACAAAGGGTCACATTAGCAGGTTCAGGGGTTAGGACTTCAACGTATCTCTTTGCGAGATACAGTTCAGTCCATAACAGCAAGGATCATGGGGCCCCCCTAGAGTCTGTCTGCTAATTATGAGCTAAGCACATTCACATACACAGACTATTTTCATGGTCTCAACTACCTTGCACAATAGTTTCATTAGGCCCAGTTTTATGAGGAAACCGAGGCTCAGAGAGATGAAGTTGTAGCACTACTGGTTGGGACTCAAAACAGAGGCTATCTGACTCCAGACCTGGGCTCTTTCCACACCTAGAGATGGAAATCCCAGCTGTCTTATACCCAGAGAAGAAGTGTGGGGAGCAGAAAGGTGTTATTCGAGACCTTGTATGTAGCTCTTTCTCTGTCTACCCACCCCACACCCTCCAGTCTCCAACCAGAAGAAGACGGTAGAGGCCAAATGCAGCCTGGCCTGTGAGTATCTGAATGAGGATGATTACATGGACCTGCTGTGGACCACTCTCTCTGAGTTCCCAGGTAAGGGACCTGTGTGAGGTGGAACTGGGGCAGGGAAACCTGAGAGTGTGGAACTACTGGGCTGGTGGCTCGACATGGTGCTCCTTGGAAGCAAATCCCATTTCGAGGGGAGGAGAGGATTTTTTTCTTAAACTTTAGCTACCAGTTTCCAAGAACTGAGAAGGGGCTGCGATTTTAGCCCTCTTGAGGACTGTTACCACATTTACCCACCCAGCTGCATGCATGCTGGCCAAAGACATGAGACACCTGGGTCAAAGACATTATCATTCATGGCCCAGCAAGCAGCATGAGTAGTGTATGGCATCAGCCCCGCTCTCCCCCAAGGTGCACAGGGGTGAAGGAAAGCGCCCAGTGGGTGCTACACCTGCAATGGAGGGCAACACAGCTGAGGAGGCCCAAGCTTGGAGAATTAACATATTTTATAATGGGTGCCAGAAACCTGCCCAAGTTTTGCCTCAGAGGGAAACATCATTCTTTTTTATTGGACAGTTAACAAACCTGCCCTTTGCTCCAGAGGAAGATCTAATTCTCCCCTCCAAGGCTCTTTGTTATACAAACATCCTTGAAATGATAGTCTGAACAAAAGGGCAGCTAGTGCAGAAATACAAGAGATCCATGGAGAATTGATTGCTTCCCAAAGCAGTCACACTGGAAAAGGCCAGTGGGCTGTGGATAAATCCAAACCATCAGGGAATGCAAATGTTGAGCTCTCTTCTCCTAAATGGAATGATGATCATTATAACAGTAATAACGTCTCATATTTATTGAGTACTTACTGCATATCAGGCATGGTGCTAAACTCTTTACAGATTTAATCTTGTGAGATAGTATAAGTATTCCCATCTTACAACTGAAATGTTGTAAAATGAGGCTCTGAAAGGTGAACTGACTTGCCCAGAATAGAAGCCATTCCTGTAACTTCCAGATGCCAGGATCTACATCCCTATTCTGAGAGTTTTCTTGGAAGCAATGGAGTATCCCTCCACCAATGACTACAGGAATTGGTGCATATGTACCTGGCATCCCTGACCATCAGATGGGGAAACTCTAGGCTGCGTGTTCTACACAGTCTCCCAGAGGTCTCCAGTGGGCTTTAGTTCCATTTGCCTGCAGTGGTAACTGCCTAGATACCTGGAAACCTGTTGGTGTCCAGTTGATTCTGACTCATAGTGAGTCCATGTGTTACAGAGAACTGCCCAATAGAGTTTCCAAGGCTGTCGTCTTTATGAAAGCAGATTGCCACATCTTTCTCCTGTGGAGCAGCTGGTGGGTTCGAACTGCCAACCTTTCAGTTAGCAGCCAAGTGCTTAACCACTGTCCCAGCAGGGCTCCTCACTTGCCTCCTCTAACTGACTGCCATCGAGTCGACTTCGACTCACAATGACCTCTCCTTGGGTTTCTGAGGTGGTATCTCGATGGAGGTAGATCGCCCAGTCATGCACCCTTTATCAGTTCCCTTCCCTTCCCTGTCTCACTTCCCCACCTCCCCTTCTGGTACTCCCTGCGATTGCCTCCCCAGGAAACACCTTGTACTTATGTCCTTGTCCCAGAGTCTGCTTCTGGGGAAATTTAACTATAACACTGAGGGTCCTACAGCCAGCAAAGCTGAAATAAAAAGAGTGGTCCCATCCCAGAGTCTTCAACCCTGGATTACACTGTCTGTCTGTCTTCTAAAACCCTTCCGCTGTACCTTAGTGAAAGGCTCAAGACTCAAACTCAGCATTGCCGCTTACCAGCTCCATGACTTCAGGCAATTCCCTCTGCCTCTCTGAAACTCAGGTTCTTCTTTCCTTACTTACTGTGGTTATTGTTTTGCTGTTTCTTTGTTCACCGACACATCTATGCTTCTAGAACAACTCCTGGCACGTGGTAGTCACTTCATTATTGATTGAGTAAATATCTAAAATGAGACTATTAATAGCTTTTACCTTCAAGGATAGTTTTAAAGATTATACAAGATAATAGATGTAAAAGTGCTTAGGCTACATTTTAACTGTGATTAAGACTATTGAGCACTATGTTAAACTGCCTCTACTGAGGTAGGGAGTTTTTTTTTTTTTAAACTTATTCCCATTTTACATATGAAGAAACTGAGGCTCAGAGAAGGCAAGGGACTGGCCTGAGACTACACAGCAAGTTAGAGGTGAGATGAAGCCTTAGAATCCGGTTGTTTCTGACTGCCAACTCAAGCATCTCACCTGCATTCCGTGAATGCTATTATTCAGACTCCTTGGGTGGCTGTGATTAATTTGTTATCTCCATTGCTGCATAGCAAGTTAACCCAAAATTCAGTGGCATAAAGCAATACACTTGTTATCTCACAGTTTTCTATGAGTCCAGAATCGGAGAGTGGCTTACCTGAGTCCTCTGCTTCAGTATCTCCCATGAGGCTACATTTGAGGCGTTGGCCCAGGGTCTGTGGCCTCATGGGAAGGCTCGACTGAGGCGAGATCCACTTCCATGCTTGCTCGCTCACGTTCCTTGAGGGTAGTGGGACAGGGGCCCTCAGTTCCTTACTAGCTTTGGCCAGAAGCTGCCCTCAGTTCCTTGCCAGGGGGCCCCCTCTATCAGAGCAAGCACACGAGAAGAGACCAAGGTGGGGACATCAGCAAGAAAAAGTCACATCTTTTATAACCTCATCCCAGAAGTGGCATCCCATCCCTTTGGCCAGACTCTTGCCGCTAGAAGTGAGTCACTAGGTCCAGCACCCATTCACATGGAGGGAATTGCATAGGTCGTTAAGACTGGGATGCGTGGTCATTGGGGGCCCCTTCAGAAACTGCCTCCCACACTGCCCCTGCTCCCCTTCCAGGTGTTCTTGTGACTCTGTGGATTATCGACCGCCTCGGCCGCAAGAAGACCATGGCCCTGTGCTTTGCCATCTTCTTCTTCTGCAGTCTCCTGCTGTTTATCTGTGTGGGAAGGTATGTCGTAAACCAGCTCCCTCTGGCCACAGGGTTTATTTCTCAGGCTGTGGTCAGTGGCTCTTTGGGCCTGCAGGGTGTTAGTTATACCTCCTTGGGGTTATTTGAGGGGTCTCCCCTCTTCCTCACTTGCTAGAACTGAGGCTCACAGCTGCCTCCCAATGGACCACAAGATCATGTTCAGTTCCGAGGGCTCTGATGGAGGTGCAGGCAGGAGGGCACATTGGTTCAGGTCTTACTCCAACTACATCAAATTTAAAGTTCTGACATCATCTCCTAATGAGACCAGGCCTATAGATGTTTAATTTATATGTGTGTTAAAGTGTTAATTTGTCCAATGGAAATGTTTTAAATAGACCCTGTTTTGGGATTTCTCCATTTTTTGATCCTCAAAACATGGAAGTGGTCCATGCTTCTCTTGAACTGTGAGGAGCTCCAGGCCAAACCTGATCATGAACCTAGGGGCCAGTTCCTGGCCTGAGGGAGGTCGGGAGACATAGCCTAGACCTTAAAATGTTGGTGCTCTGGGATACCTATGGGAATGATGGGATGGGGGTTTGGGGATGAGGATTATCCTAAAAGTACTGGATAGAAGTTTGCTTTCCCTAGCTCAACTGCCTCCTGGCTCCATTCCTGCCCCACAAATTCCAATCAGAGCTTCCTGTTGCTTGGCTCACCTCTCTTCATCCTTACCTCCGGCCTGGGCAGCTCAGTGTTACTATTTCTCAGCCTGGTGCTTTGGTGAATGATACACTTATAAAAGCAGGACTTTGGAGATGGCACTGGAATGTGTGTGTGCATTCACATGTGCCTGTGTGAGTGTATGGTGGGGAGTAACCTTTGTCAATTTCTAGGGTGCAACACCTGGACAAACAGGACTTTTTTTTCCCATAAATTTACTTTTATTGTGGTGAAAACATACAAACTAAGACATTCACCAATATAACAACTTCCACAACTTCTCCATTCCCCCTCCCTCCTACCCCTGGTAACCAGTAAGTAACCAGTAATAATATTTTTTTTGTGTGTATATATATATACACACACACACACATATACATATATATGTATATGTATACATATATATGTATATAGATAGGGTTAAATATGTGTATATATATGTATATACATATACATATATGTATAAATATATGTATATGTACATATACGTATATACATATATGTATATGTATACATATATGTATATACACATATATGTATGTATACATATATGTATATGTATAAATAGATGTATATATACATATATTTAACCCTATCTAGCAATTTCCCCTCCTTCCCGTCCACTCCCTGTAAACTAACAAAGAACGTTCCCTTCCATGTATAAACCTTTCCTTCACTTTTTACAATAGTGGACTAATACAATATTTGTTCTTTTGTAATTGACTTATTTCACTCAGCATAATGTCCTCAGCTTCCTCCATATTATGTGGTGTTTTGCAGATTCTACATTATTCTTTAGGGTTGCATAGTATTCCACTGTGTGTATGTACCACAGTTTGGTTATTCCTTCTTCCATTGATGGACACCTAGGTTGTTTCCATCTCTTTGCTATTGTGAATAGTGCTGTGATGAACATGGGTGTGCATATATCTATTCATGTCCTGGCTCTCACTTCTTTAGGATATATACCTGGTGATGGGAAGCTAGATAAAATGGTGGGTTTTTTTTTTTTTAATGTCATTATTTAACAATTATCTGGTCCTTTTTACAGAGACCTCACATCCTGATAATAAATTATTTTAAAGGACTGCAAAATGAAAACATTATTGGTCATAGACTCTCTCTATCAAGAGTGGCAAAAATATTTTGGCTTCCTTTGATTTTTTTTTTTTTTAATTGTAATTTGGGTGAAAGTTTACAGAGCATAAAATGGTGTTGACACATCTTCAACTATCACACACCTTTTCAAGGAATTGCCATACCATGGGCAGATAGGACTTTGCTGAAACAAGCTCACAGAAACAGTACCTCTCATCTGCTTTCTCCCCTCTCTAGAAACGTGCTCACTATGCTACTCTTCATTGCAAGAGCGTTTATTTCTGGGGGTTTCCAAGCGGCCTATGTTTACACACCTGAGGTAGGAGGGGAGTCTGGGAGCAGCTGGGGCCAGGAGGGTGGGAGCTCTCCAGAAACACTCCAGTGGGACTCCTCAGAATGAAAATTTGTCCTTGGGTCCAAGTGGCGACAGTGAAGCCCTTCATTATTTTAACACATTTTCCCAACTTTTTCTTCTGCTTATAAAAATGTACTCTCAATGTAAAAATCTAAATATTACACAACTGTCTAAAGCCAAAAATGAAAGATCCCTCCATCCCCTCCGTCCAAGGGACAACTTTATTGCATAGTTCAGTGTATATTCTTCCAGATTTTTTGATACAAATACCAATATAGGCCCTTGCATATATCAGGTGAGTTGGGTATGTGGGTAATTGAGAAGAGTTTAGTAGAGAGACTAGTTATAGTGGTGTACGGCAGGGCTGAGGAAACCCACAGGTGATAGAGCAGTGCCCCAGAGCTGGCAGTGGGTGGGGTGAGGTGGGGTGCCTGGGGCAGCTGTTACTATACTGGGCCTGACGGAATGGAGGAGGGAACTGCTCCTGGGTCCCAGGAAAGAGTTGTGTGGAGAAGGTGGCTTTGAGGGAAGCCGACATTCAGCTGAGGGACCCAGCAGGCCTGAGGTGACGTAGAAGGGCAGGAGCAGAGAAATATATAGCCAGCCTCTCTTTCCTCTTGCCTCTGCAGTTCTGCTCTGACACACGTGAGTTCACCATTAGTCAGAGGACTCAGTGGCAACTGGTTTGGTTGGAAGATGCCCAGGCCTTTCTCACTTGGCATAGGAGTGACTAGACCCGAGGCCATAGGGAGGACATACTGAGAACTTGTGTGGAAGTTTAAACCATAGTCTCTTTGAAGTCTGGGCTGGTACTTCAAGGAGGTGCCATGTAATGATAAGTGGCAGGATGAGTGAGGCCTGGGTCCTGATTGTGCAGCAGTTCCTAGGGGAGGGGTCTTTGAGGATCACCCACTACCCAGAGCAAGGAGGACCCCCATACTGGGTTCTCTCCCACACCTCAGCCTCTTGCCCTCTTTCTCAGTCCAATTCTTACCACCTTCGGGATGAGAACCCCCATCCAGTCTCCCATCCCTTAGCAGGGTCACCCTAACTTCAGGCTTGCCTATGGAGGACTGTCCTATCAGGCCTGAGCTCGGGAGGAGAGAGGGACCTGCATTTTTGGATGTCCCCACCAAGCTGCTGTGTTTCAGGTCTACCCCACTGCAACGCGGGCGCTGGGCCTGGGCTCCTGCAGTGGCATGGCAAGAGTGGGTGCTCTCATCACACCATTCATTGCTCAGGTAGGTGTCACCCCAAATACAGTGTGTGGGGGGTACTCACAAAACCAATGCATTACCAGTATTATTATGTGCTGAGGCTTCAGCAAGGCTCTGTGGCTGTGTCTGCCTCCTGTATGCTCCTGCCCCACCCAATAGAGAAGCATAATGCTTACCAAGGAGAAAACAAGCTCAGAAGGAGAAAGGTACTTGAACTTGCCCGTGGCCACACAGGCGGGAAGTAGGGAGGAAACTAGAAATCCTATGCAGAAAACTCTGGGAGCTCAGGATCATTTGACCAAAAACAATTAGGGTGAAGGTCAATAGGCCAACATGATTTAGTAGAAAACGAATGCCCCAGTCCCTACTTCTGAGTTTGGATAATTAGGATTCATTGCAGAATTTGGCAACTCTGTGTATCTGGAAGCATTTCCTGAGCTTTTTAACAAGAATTTTATTGTGGTAAATTAAACAAAACAAAAAAAACCGACTGCCATTGAATTGATTCTGACTCAAAGTGACCCCCATTGGGTTTCCAAGGTTGTAAATCTTTATGGAAGTGGATTGCCTCATCTTCCTCCTGCAGAGCAGCTGGTGGGTTTGAACCACCCACCTTCTGGTTAGCAGCCAACTGCCTTACCTACTGCACCATGGTAAATTACATTTAACAGAAAGTTTGCCACTTAAGCCATTGATAAGCACGCAGTGCAGTGACGTTAATTACATTCAGCATGTTGTGCAATTATCACCACTACCTATTTCCAAAAGTTTTTCATCTCTCCAGACAGACATTCAGCACCCACTCAGCAGTAGCCCACCACTTCCCCCTCTTTCAGCCCTTGATAATGATTAATAACCTTCTGTCTCTATGCATTTGCTAATTCCAGATTATTTCATGTAGGTGAGATCATACAGTATTTGTCCATTGGTATCTGACTTACTTCACTCAGCATGGTATTTTCAAGGTTCACCCATGTCATAGCACATACAGTGCAACAAACCTGTGAGAGCCGGGATTTGACAGAGCTGCTTTGTTTTTCCAGGTATCACAAGTTTTCTGCCTTTGACAGGATGCCCTCTTGCCACTTTCCTATTGCTTGTTTTAGTGGAAAATACGTTTTCCTTCTCTGACAGGTTTTCATCTTACTCAGGTTCCGGCTTTCACAGGTTTGACTATATCAAGACTTCATTCCTCTTTGTGGTTAAATAATATTCCATTGTATGTTCATCCATTCATCTGTTGAGAGACATTTCTTTATTTTTCGAGACATTATTTTTAAATCATTTTAGTTTTTTATATCCAATTCATTTTTTGCCAGATGTTTCTGGCCCGCCCTGTGGTTCTGGGCCATTGTATGTACCACTGACTGATAATGACTGAGGGATCCCCATGTGTCTGCATAATGTCAGGTGCTAGCCAGGTAGCCTCTCATAGGAAGTGGCTACTGCCCTCATGGAGACCCTGAGTGGTGCAAAGGGTTAATGCACTCAGTTGCTGATGGAAAGGTTGGTGGTTCGAGTCCATTCGGAGGCACATAGAAGAAGGGCCTTGCATTCTAATTCTGACACATCAGCCATGGGAAACCCTGTGGACCACAGTTCTGCTCTGACACAGATGGGGTTGCAGACTCTGCAGCAGTTACTTCCAGCCCTCAGGCCCATTCTGCAGATGAGGACATGAGACATAGTTCTGCTGTGTGATTTCTGGAATTCAGCAGAGGCACTGCCCTGGGAGAGGGTGTGGTTACAAGGATCACAGTCTCTTAAGCCTGATGGGCCTGGGTTCAAATCCTACCTCATCCTTATTATCTCTATTGACTAAGTCAGGGTTTGCTAGAGAAACAAAACTAGTAAGACAAGATACATATCTATATCTACATGTATGTATGTATGCAGCCCTGGTGGTGCAGTGGTTAAGTGCTCAGTTGCTAACAAAAGCTCAGAAGTTTGAACCCACCAGCTGTTCTGAGAGAGAAAGAAGTGATGTGGTGTGGCAGGCTGCTTGTGGAGAGAATACAGCCTTGGAAACCCTATTGGGCAGTTCTACTCTGTCTTTTAGAAGGCATTTGACTGCTAACCAGAAGGCTGGTGGCTCAATCCTTGGAAGGAAGATTGGGCAATCTATGTCTTTAGTGATACTGCCTCAGAAACCCAAGGAGGAGTTGCTATGAGTCAAATCAACTTGACAGCAGTGAGATGATGAGTTACAATCTTGATGGCAACAGGCTTGGTTTATATGTGTGTGGTGTGTGTGTGTAAACAGAGAGAGAGAGACTGACTTTAAGGAACAGTCTCATGAATGTGTGGGGGCTGTCAAGTCCCAAATCTGCAGGTCAGGTGGTAGGCTGGAGACTTCTACAAGCTTAAGTTCTAAGATTCTAAGATCTGTTAGGTCAGGTGATAAAGAGAGTGCAAAGACAGACAGACAGAAAGAGAGAGAGAGAGAGAACAGGTAAGAGCAACCTCTACCAGAATATCTGTTTACGTTCTGGAGACAGACACGCCCCCAGGGCAATGCTCCTTTCCACTGATTGGTTGATCAGATCTCAGAAGGTCATTACATTATAGCATTATGTCACATTGTAAGTCCAGTGTCTGACCAAACTACCAAGAATCATAGTGTAGCCAAGTTGACTCATAAAATGAACCATCACAGGTATGCTACTTACCCTCTTTGCACCTCAGTTTCCCCTTCTGTAAAATGAGGATCAAGTACCTGCTTCACTGAGCTCCCAGAGAACTACATGAGACAATCATGTGGCTGCTAGGATTAGCGCAGTGGCAGTGCCTCTGGTTCAGAAGGGATGCGCTCACCTGTGTCCATCTTCCCTAGGTGATGCTAGAATCCTCTGTGTACCTGACGCTGGCAGTTTATAGCAGCTGCTGCCTCCTGGCTGCTCTAGCCTCCTGCTTTCTCCCCATCGAGACCAAAGGCCGTGGACTGCAGGAATCCAGCCACCGGGAGTGGGGCCAGGAGATGGTCGGCCGAGGGACGCACGGCACGGGCGTCCCCAGGTCAAACTCTGGCTCACAGGAGTAGTGACTGCTAGAGGGCGAGCTGGTCTTTGAGGCAGTAGCGTGCAAAGAGCTGGTGGAGCCCAGCTGGTATATTGACTGTCACTGCCGCCACCAAGAACCCGAGCGTATGATCTGAACCAACAGGGCTTTGTGTCTTCACTCCATTTGCTCATGTTCATTGAGATCCCCCCAGAGATGGGAAGGCGTTGGCTCTCAGGGGGTTCTCTGTATGTGTGTGTGGAAGGTGTGTTAATAATCTGTGCTTCTACGTGGGGAAAACGCCACTTTGGGAGTGTCCAGTGATGCCATTCAGAATCGGCTGGTCACACCCTCAGTGAACAACAGATCATCTCTGTAGACACAGACCAGGACCATGGAACACCTGCCCACCCAGGTGAGACAACACCTGCCATCTACCAACCAGATTCGTTTAGTCAGTTCTCCTACAGCCTGGGCCCCAAGGCTTTCATCTTTGAAACTGCAGGTGACTGGGTGTGGCCTGACCAGCATTTCCTTCCATCTGAGAAATGCCCAAAAGGGCAATTCTGTCTGCCTCCCCAGGGCCTGACTAGTGATGACTCCGGCAGATGGTCATGCATTTGAACTTGAGCCATGTGCCCCCCACCCCTACTCTGGAGTTGCTGTGCCTGCCTCCAGGGCATCCATTTGTTTCCATGGGGATGGCTGGGCTGGATGACAACCTCAGAAAGTTGTTACCCCAGGAGCTGGGGACTGAGGCCGAAGAGAGGTGAGACTCAAGTCCAAAGGGAAGCAGGGCCCTCCCTTCAGAAGCAGCAAAGGCTGTTCCGAGCTTCTTTTCTGGCTCCCTCCTTGGCCAGGCTGATGGCGACTCGTGGGGCAAGAAAACAGTTTACTCAGGTTTCCTCTTTCTCTCTGTGAAGCACCAGCGCTTTGGATTTGGAGGACAGGTAGATGGCTCTAAGGCCAGAGACCCAGAAAGAATGCTACACCAACTACACGCTCCCATGGGGCCCCGGGATCCAGACCCCTGACGTGAAGCTGTTCTTTCCTCCCTGGTTTCTAGGCTTCCCAGCCTTGGTCTTCACATAGAGGCAGATCCTGGGGTTCTAGCGATGGACCCCATGTCAGGGATGCTATAAGGTGGCAAGGGGTGGGAGCGCCTAGACGTGTGACATTTGTACATTTTTAAGGGAAGAGAGGGAAGTCAATTGGGTGTTCACTTGGAAGGAAGGAATGGACTTCTGTCTCAGCATCCACCTCCAAGGCTTGGTTTACACAAACCTTTCCCCCATCGTCAAAGTGGGGGAACTACGAGAGGAGGGAGGAGGCTGCCAGACCCCATCAAAAACCAGAGAAGACTGACCATCCTCTTGGAGCTATGTGCTGGAAGTAAACATTACAAGGAAGCCAAATGTGTACACTCATCTCTTATTAAAACATGTTGGTGATGGATATTGCAAGGGTCTAAGTTTGTTAGTTTGTCATGTTCTAGTAATATTTTGGCTTAATGATCTTGGGAATTTTGTCCATCCAAGGTCATCTCATTTAAGCATGATCACCTTGCTTAAATATGATCATCTCCGTTTCAATAAGGGGGAAGTTACATGGTTGACTGCTAACATTATGATTTTGTATCTGTTGGAGACAACACTGTCTTCTAATGGGTCAGCTTCTTCAGGTTCAAGTCCTGGCTTGACAGTAAACAATACCATGACGCTGAACTACAGGGCCACAGATGCAGCCTCCTCAACCCATGCAGTCAGAGGGAATGTGGCTTAGCAGAACTGCCTCTTTCTGACACCCACACATCCTTGAACCGTGAGCAGCTGTGGCGCTCATTACTTCTAGGCTGCTGAGCTCTCCTGGGTGGCATGGAGCCTTTGCTTGTCTTTTTTTTTTTTTTTTTTGGATTTGGGTGAAGTTTTACAGAGTAAATTCACTTTTCATACAGCAGTTCACATTTTTTTTTTTTTTTTTTTTTTGGCCTTCCAGCTGGTCAGACTTTGCCGGACGCTCATGTTAACTTTCTTTATCCTCAGATGACCCAGTGGAGCTGTAGGCAGGGGGTGAGGGGGTAATTGGGGGTAGGCATGTTTTCCAGGGATGAGGGTAGAGGGGCTAGCATTGAAGTCTGTGGCCCTTTTATTATGACTATGATTATTTTATGTGCTGTTGTTGAGAATATATACAGCAGAACATACACCGATTCAAAAATTGCTACATGTGCGATTCAGTGACGTTGATTACATTCGTCAAGTTGTCCAGTCATTCTCATCCTCCTTTTCCAAATTACTCCTCCCCCATTGGTATAAACACACTGCCTCTACGGTTCCTATAATCGTTCAAGTTGCTGTTGTCAGTTCGTTCCCATAGAGATAGTTCTTTAAAAGAGCACAATTCTCAAGGCAGGCATTCTTTACTAATTAAGCTGTTTGGTTTAAACAAGACTTTGGGGGGATTGTTTTTGGTTTAAGAAGGGGCTCTGGTGGCACAGTGCCTAAGGCATTTGCTAACCAGAAGGTTGGTGGTTTAAACCCACCAGCTAGCTGCTCTGCAGAAGGAAGACTGGGCAATCTACTTCCATAAAGATTTACTGTGTTGGAAACCCAATGAGCGTTGCTTTGAGTTGCAATCGACTCAATGGCAGTGGTGTTTTTTGGTTTAAGGTTTAGAGATTATCTCAGGGCAATAGTTTCAGGGGTTCATCCAGGTCACTGGCTCTGCCAGGTCTGGATTTCATGAGATTTGAAATTCTAGTCTGCATTTTCTCCCCTTTTGAGCAGGATTCTTCTACAGAATCTTTGATTAAAAGGATCAGCAATGGTAGTGTGGTGCTCTTCTTGAGAAAATAAAAGTTAAAAACTCTTTCCCTTCTAAAGCACCTGCCCTTTTTCTAAAAAAAAAAAAAAAAATCCATATTATTGAATGATACGAGAGCTGCTATGAAAGTTGTCCAAGCTTCTGAAATAGCAGGGCCTTTAACTGAAGACGCTTTGTAGCTAATTTTGAGCTATTTGAGAGCTACTGTTTTCACCAAAGGAAATGTCATTTGTTTCTCTCAGTGTTAGGAAATATTTTAGAAAATGGCAAAAGATGTTCAATGTAGCCAGGGTTATATGGTTTCTTTCTTTTCCCTACTTCAAATATTCTCTTAAGAACACTTACATACCCCTGGTGGTACTGGCAATGAGATGAAAGAGAATCTTAGGAACTGGCTTTGGAATGAATGTGGATATTCATTATTTTTTAATGTTAAGCAACAGAACACCTTGAATGATGACATCAAGAATCTCCCTTGGTTATTATGAATAAATACCAAAGGATTGGGATAACTTCAGCTGCAAATAGCAATAAACCCAATCAAGAGTGACTTAAAACATTAGAATAATTATTGTTAACAACAAGCCCAGCCAGAATCATGCAGTTTAGGGAAATTTCAGCAGTTCAATGATGTCATCAAAGACCCAGAATCTTTCTGTCTTTCTTCTCCTCTGTCCTCTGCATGTTGGTCATTTGGCCCTCTTGCTTGGAGCCTCATGGTTACAAGATGGCTGCTGAACTGCCAGGCATCATATTTATGTACAAATGAGGTCAAATAGAGAAGGAGCAATTGCAGAAAGTTTTCTTTCACAAGGTTCTGTTGTTTATGGTTGGAAAGGGAAGTCCTCCAATGCTTCTCATTGGTCAGACCTGGGTCACAGGCCCACCTTTGGACCAATCTCTGGCAGAAAGTAACATATTACCAAGACTGGTTTAGGCCAGTCATGAGGCATCCCCTAAGGCTAGGGAGGGGCCTACCTCCCATAGGACCAAGAGATACCTGCCAGCCTCTGGAACATAAATTGGGATCCTGTTGGCACAGACCAAAATGAAGGTATTTGCTGTTGGTTGGGCAGTGGTTGAGATCTGTCATCTATGAGACATATAGATCCATGGAATAGAATTAAGGGTCCAGAAATATTGCCATGGATGTGTAAGCCACAGTGTTCTAGTCAAAGCAATTTCAGTTGCAAGAAACAGAAATTTCACTTAGGCTAACTCAAATTAAGAAGGAGCTTACTACAAAATTTGTTTATTATAAGATTAGAGGAGCTCTGGTGGTGCAGTGCTTAAGGCATTTGACTGCTAACAAGAAGGTTGATGGTTCAAACCCCCAAGCTGCTCTGCAGAAGGAAGATGGGTCAGTCCACTTCAATAAAGATTCACCGCCTCAGAAACTCAGTTGGAGTTGCTGTGAGTTGGAATTGCCTCAATGGTAGTGAGTTTTGTTTTGTTTTGGTCTGGTATTATAAGATTGGGATCAGCAGTTAATTTCCTACAGAGGACAGCCAGGGAACATGCATGAGTGAAGCAGAGAAGATGTAAAAAGCAACAGGAAGAGATGAGGACTGTGGTGAAGAGGAGGCACATGGGCCCCATCCAAAGGGAGTTGCCACTATTCAGCTCCAGTTGATTTCATTGCACAGCTAGATTGTCCTATTTTCAAGACAGAAATCTGGATTTGCATGTGAAATCTCCAATTTTTAGTGTGTTGGATCAAAAAATGTTTAAGTGGTGCGTGAGCCACATAAAATACATCTACAGGCCAGGTTTGGTGGGTGTATTGAAAGCAGTGGGCAGCCTGTGAAAGAGTAGAGACCTTATGGAAATAAAGTCCAGCCTTACTTCTTATAGTGCAACAGGAAACTGGGGAGGCAGTAGGGCCAGAAATGGCTTCCTCTCTGCTCTGCGACTGTCATTCTTGCTTCTCTCTGTAGACTGGCTTCTGTCTGCCTCCTGGAGGTGGCTGCTCTTTAACAACCAGGCAGATGGCTTCGACCCTCAGTGGCTCCATGGCCTTATAACTCAGTTCTGCAAATAGCCCTGACTCAGCTGTTCAGTGTCCCACTTTCAGATTCTCAGAAGAGGACTCTGATTGGCCTTGGTTAGTGTTGGTTCCAGTCCTGGTCCAATTAAATTGGGTCAGGGAGGGCTGAAGTCAAGAGGTACAAACGTGGCTTAAACCTACCCTTTCAGCAGATGGCATGGATGATTACTGATACATGGAGCCCACAGCAACATTGAGGTCAACTCCTGAGTCTGTTCATCATAGCTCTATATTATGAGCTATGTTATGGCATGTGGTAACTTTGTATGTAGTATCCACTAAATGCTGGGCCTGGGATTCCATACTGAAGATGCAGAAAATAATAAGGCATGGTCCTTACACTTACGCATTCACAGGGCAGGGGGGCAGGCAGGCATAGACAGATCATTGCAACGCAGTGTGACATGGGACTAATGTAGGGACGCAGAGGTGCTGTGGAGACACACAAGATGGCATCCCTAAATCTCTAGGGCATCCTGCAACATCTTCTGGCTCCTCAAAGATTCAGTGGTTTCAGTCAGACTTGGCTCACTGGCGATATTGGATCGTCTTCTAATTCTTTGACATTTGAACATTCATGCGTAGCTCATTTGATCATTCTCAATTAGTCAAGACTATCTGATGAACAGCAGCAATCAAGAGATCAAAAGTTATATTATATTGGGCAAATCTGCTGCAAAAGACCTCTTGAAAGTGTTAAAAAGCAAAGATTTCGCTTTGAGGACTAAGGTGCACCCGACCCAAGCCATGTTATTTTCAACAGCCTCATACGCATGTGAAAGCTGGACAATGAATAAGGAAGACTGAAGAAGAATTGATTCCTCTGAATGGTGTTGGTGAAGAATGAATAGTGACTATACTGTGGACTACCAGAAGAATGAACAAATCTATCTTGAAAGAAGTACAGCCAGAATGGTTCTTAGAAGCGAGGATAGCAAGACTTCATCTTACATGCTCTGGACATGTTATCAGGAGGGACCAGTCACTGGAGAAAGACATTATGCTTGGTAAAGTAGAGGGTCAGTGAAAAAGAAGGCCCTCGACAAGATGAATTGACACAGGGGCTACAACAACAGGCTCAAATACAGCAACAACTGTGAGGATGGTGCAGGACCAGTCAAGTGTTTCATTCCGTTGTACACAGGGTTGCTGTGAATTGGAACCAACTCAATGGCATCTAACAACAACAAATTTAACGAACCACTTCAATTGCTTCTCTCTCCACCATTCAAGAGAACGGACTTCTTCCTAAGTTCATAAATAAGAAACCAATTCCATTCACTATAGTATCAAACAGAATGATAAAAACAAATTTAACAAAAGAAGTGCAAGACTTATGCACTGAAAACAACAGAACATTGCTGAGAGAAATTTTTAAAAACCTAAATAAGGAGAGAGACATTCTATGTTCACAGAAGACTTAAAATTGTTAAGTTATAAATACTCCCCCAAATGATCTATAGATTCAACACAATTCCTATCAAAATCCAAGCTGGATTTTTTTTTTTTTTTCAGAAATTGGCAAGTAGATTCAAAAATTCATAAGGGATTGCAAACGATCTAGAATAACCAAAACAATCTTGAAAACAAATAAAAAGAACAAAGTTGGAAGACTTACACCTCCCAATTTTAAAACTTACTCCAAAGCTACAGTAATCAACACAGTGTAGTACTGACCTAAGTATAGATGTAGACATCAATGGATTAGAATTGAAACTCTGGAAATAAACCTGTACAGTTATAGCTAATTGATTTTTTAAAATTTATTTATTTATGTTCTTGTTTTTTGAGAATATGCACTGCAAAACTGAAATCAATCCAGCAGTTTCTATACGTACCATTTTGTGACATTGATTATATTCCTTGAATTGTACAATCATTCACACTCTCTTTTTCTGAGCTGTTCCTGCCCCATTAAGAAATTCACTGTCCCCTAAGGTTCTGTCTACTCTTTCAAGTTGCTTTCATCAATTTGATCCTGTTTAGATAGTTCTTACAAGAGCATAATGCACAAGGCAGATTATTTTACCAGTTATGTTAAACAATAATCTGGTTTTAAGAAGACTTCAGGAGATATTTTAGGTTTTCAGGTGTTCAACCAACCTTCATGGCACCAGGAAGTTTGTAGTCCATGAGAATTTGAAATTGAAATTCTGTTCTTCTTTTGCCTCCTTTTGATCAGCATTCATCTATAGAGTCTGTGATCAAAATGCTCAGTCATGGTAGCCAAGTACCATTCAGTTCTTCTGCTCTCATAGCAAAGGAGGCAGTTGTTCATGAAGGCAATTAGCCACATGTTACATATCTTCCTCCTATTCTTGACTTTCCTTCTTCCCTTGCTCCAGGTGAATAGAGACCAATTGTTGTGCCTTGGATGGCTGCTTGCAAGCTTCTAAGACCCTAGTCACTACACAATGAACTAGGAGGTAGAACAGAAGCACTAAACATGTTTGTTATTCGACCAGTTAACTGGGTTGTCTTATGACATATGGTCAAATGATACTTCACAGAGGTGTCAACTCAATCGAATGGAGAGAGACTAGTGTTTTGTAAATTCATCAAACTGCCAAAAATTCACTGAAATTATGCTGTAGACCCATCTTCAGGAAAAAAGCAGGAGTGTTAGACAAAGAGCGAGTGAAGGGCTCAAGCATGGCAAAGTCTTCTACAGAGCCGTATGGGTCGCAGGTCTTCCCCACGCCCCTTCAGTTCTGATTTTCAGGACAGAATCCAAAGGAAGCCACATTTCAAAGAGGTCCTCTAGTTACGAAAAGAACAGGAGGCTTACTTTGGATCTAAATATGGACTTCCTCTAAAGGGTTCCTGTGGACACCTAGCCTGGATCAGTAGGGTTCACACTCCCTAGAGAAATTTCAGAGTGAGTAAAGAAATATTTTGGTCAAAACCTAAGCACTGTACCTCAGTCCAAGCACCAGGAAGTGCACTGCTCCCCATGCCCTGGAACCTTGAAAAAATCTCCTAGTCTGGGCCCAATATGACCATGAGGAAAAGAGAACGAATCCTTTTCAGTGTGTTTGCAGAGAAGTTGAGGTGGAATGTGGAACATTCTAGAGAAGGTAGAGTGATTACAGGGACCAGAGGAGGCCTAGGTCAGGCTGGGAAACCTTATGGTTTCCTCTCATCTCATACTTCTTATGGAAATAAGTCAAGGTTGGGGTGGAAGGTAAGTGACCATTTATAGTAGAGTCCTTGATTAGTTGATTGAGGAGAGCCTGGAATCCTTGCGTGGAGGTGGTGGTCACTGAAGTCTTCAGAGGTGGGATGGTGGTCTCCTGGATAGCTTTCTTTCTTCCAGGACTTTCCCAAAGAGCTTGGCCACCTCCTGGGCACAGCCCCAGTGGATGGTGAGCCCATAGCCTCCATGGCCATAGTTGTGGATGACCTGGAAGAGGCAAAAGAAAAGGTGACTGGGTCACTGAAGGACATTGAAAGGGGAAGAAGAAGCTTTTCTGCCTCAGGAGACTTTGGATCTAAATTTGAACTTCCTCAACCCCATTCATTTTTGTGAGTTCACTGTTTATTGAAACTCGGGATCTTCCTGAAAGGTTCTGGGCAAAGCCAGACACTACCCCAAACTTCTCTCGACAGCTTGTTGAGATAGTGGGAGCCCCTGACAGCAGGAAGGGAGGCCATTTGGGCAGCTGGACAACAACAACCTAGATGCTTCTCTTTCACTCAGGAGAAGGGCCAGGAAATCACACACTCAGCCCAAGAAGAGTAGAATCACATCTAGAGCTTGAGGTCAGAGATTTTCCCCATTGCATTGTCAGAAGTTCCTCAAATCACTTTCCTGCCTCCCATCCTGCTCTGGACTGATGAACCTTCTGTGTTAATAGACACATGCTTCTACCCACTTTGGGAGGAAGGAGGGGCAGGGAATCATATGTGTAGACTCTGGTTAATGTGCTAATTCTTTCTGAGGGTGGAAACAAGACTTCTGGGCCATTATTGAAAGCTAAAAGCATCAGTAGGGAGTTTGACTCCATATGTGATTCTCCATTACTGAACCCTCTACACACATACACACACACACACACAACCCTGCTCTATACACACGTGAGACCACTCTATACATTCATACATGTACACAAAACTGTTCTATACACACACATAACCCCTCTATACACATATACACACACAAGATCCCCTCTACACAAACACACATGCCTGGGATCATGCAGGGAGGGTGACCTAGGTAGCGAGGACTGCTTTCCTGGCAGAAATCCAGCCACCACTTACTTAGATCAGTTCCTTCAGCCCAGGATAACTTCAATGGTGTCAATAAGTCCAGTTCCTATCTCATGAGGGGACATGAGAGAGGAACCCCAGAAAGATGATAGGGCAGCCTTAAAATGGACATCCAAGAAATGGTTCTAGGGTCACCTACAGCAAGGTTCAAACCACATCCCAGACCTGCCCCTCACCAGTGCTCTAACTTAGGCTAGTGACTTCACCTCTTGGAACCTCAGCTTCTTCATCTAAACATGGGGAGAACTGCACAGCAGATTCAATAAGCTCATTCATGACATAGGATTGCCTGAATGTCTGGCACGAAGTAAATGCTCAGCAAGTACCCATTTTCCTTCTACTCAACCATAGGCTTTAGAAACCAAAACAAGGACTTCTATGTGACCTTGAGCATATCTTTTAACACTGCTGAGCCTCAGGTTTCCCCATTTATAAAACCATCCTACCATCTAATCGATTCTGACTCAGAGTGACCCTATAGGACAGAGAACTGCCCCCAAAGGGTTTCCAAGGCTGTAAATCTTTACGGAAGCAGACTACATCATCTTTCTCCTGCAGAACAGCTGGTGGGTTCAAACCGCCAACTTTTCGTTAGCAGTCCAATGCTTTAACCACTATGCCACCAGAGCTCCTTTCCCCATTTATAGAGGAGGGGTTATTAGCTATCACTTCCTTGACTGCCAGGGAGGCTGAGGTCAGACATGACTGTCCCCTGGAAATATCAGAGCTGTCTTGTTGGGGCTGGAGGACATTGCTTTCCTTGCCAGGAGAACATACCTCTGTGGTTGAAGATCCAAAGCAAAGCTGTTCTCTTTCTAAGCGAATCTGAGGGCGTACTGGCCGGAAGCCAGTCCATTCAGAAATAATTCTTGCTTCCTGGGAAGAAAAAAGTGTAAGCAACTTAACTCTGGATTATTTTTTTTAGGCTGCCAATTGTAGGTGATGGGGAGTTAGTTTTTGGTACTCCATTACCATTAGCACCAACACCACCATCTTCACAGTCACATTTATTGATTACCACTATGATCATTACCACTTTGTCAACTACTGGCATCATTACTACCACCTCCACCAATGCTAGCAACTTCTCCATCTTCATCAACCACCACCACCATCAGTCATTACCTATAATATTTTCATCAGTCATCACCCCCATCACCATGATCATCTCCATCCTCAAACATTTTCATCACCATCCACACCAACCACCACTTCTACCCTCACCCTCACCACCATCACTACTGTCTGTCTTCACCACTAACAGGCAAATGTGAAAACACAGGTTTCTGCAACAAATACATCTTCTACCTATTAAAACAGACTAAGGTTCTTTGGTATATCACCTTAGGAGAGAGTACTCTTAGCCATGGCTAGGTAGGTTTCATCAGCCCACAGCATGGACTTCCCTGTACATCATCAAATTCTGGTGTGTTTCACAGTCCCCTGCTGGAATTAATTTTGCCCATTTATTCCAGGGGTAGAATCTCCCCATTCTCGAGTGTTCTCGTGACTAAGCTCCCGGGTCCCTGGTCTAGGGCCCTGATGCCCCTCCCCATGGTACCTTCAGAGTGGGCTTCAGTTTGCAGCAGCCTTCCCAGATGGTTTTATGGTCCTGGATATTGTTTGTCTCACTCCAGTTCCCCACCTGGAAGATGCCTCCAAGAGTCACTTCCTGTATCCTAGATAAAAGCGAGGAGGGTGGATGATGAAGGAAAATGATGTCTTTGAGATGCATTAAGGGCCATCACTATGTTCATCCTTACTACCGTCTCTAAACAAATCACCACTCTCATCAACATTGTCATCTCTGCAACAATACCATCATCACCACTGCAATGCCAGTGCCACCACCATCAACACCAACCACCATCTCTACCACCACTATTAATGTTACCATCAACACTGTCAGTTCCATTAGCATCATCTTCACTACTGCCTTCACTACCACTATTAATATGCCATCTTCATCAACCCCAATCACCATTTCCACCACCATCATTAACATCACCGTGGATAGTATCATCTCTGCCACACCATTAATGTTGCCTTTGAGACTATATCACATCTATTACACTACTAACATCATTATTGATAGTGTCATCTCCATCAACATGAACTACCACTCCTACTCTCAATCACCACCATCAACATTGATTTCATCAACAACCACACCAGTTCACCACCACCACTAACACTACCCCTCTACCATCCTTACCCCAATCATCATCCCTTCTTCAACACTGTTTTCTCTATCAATAACAATCCTATCTCTACTACTACCATACCACTATCAGTATTATTGTCATCCCATCCTCATCACCAGCATCTTAAGGAACATCACCACCTCCACCATCAACCCCAGTCACCATTCCCACAGCCACTGCCATTGTTGATATTCACATCACTTCTAGTGTCACTGCCATCACATTCACTGCTGCTGTCTCTCACGTCATCACTACTGGCATCCAAAAGTATGTTCAACATCGAGCCTGACCAAGGCTCAGTCCTACCTTCCTAGGGATTTAATGGTTCAAACTTACTCAAAAAACACTGGAGGGGAAAAAAAAAACTTGAGGGGCTAGGTAAGGTCCTGGGGAGGGCAGCAGGATCATAAAGAAAGCATGAAGGTGCCCCACTTCTGCCCTAGGACAGTCAGTTTTTACCCTGGGATGATGTACGGAGAATTGTAGATGCCACTGTCTACGTTATGGGTGATAATGAAATGCTTCATCCAAGGTGCATTGACCTGTTGGTTCAGAACAGAGAAGTCTCATCAGGGGAGTTGGATCAGCAGGCTCTTCCTGCCCTTGCTCCCTTCGATGACCAGATGTTCTGAGAAGAGTGGCAAGGCCAGGTTCATTAGCCCTCTCATGGCTCCTCTGCCCCAAGTCTGCACCTGACTGATCAAGAAGCACCTCTGCTCAACGAAGCAGCACGTTCGCACCCACACGTCCACAGAAAAGTTCCAGCACACGTATGTACACATACATGCATGTTTGCCCACATGGGATCAAACATGCCCACCGACACACACATGCATATACACATATGAACACCTAGAATACACATGCACACCTATGAATGCACACATGTACAAATACATATGCACACACATGCATACCTATTGATGCATATACATAAACTCACATATGCACATGCACACCTATAAATTCACAACACCTACACAGATGTACACCTACGAATGAACATATGTACCCTCACATATGTACACACAAACCTGTAAATGCACACATGTACACTTGTTGTTGTTGCTTTGTGCTGTCGAGTCGGCCCCGACTCATAGCGACCCCTCCTTGGGTTTCCGAGGCAGTATCACTACGGAAGTAGGATTGCCCAACCTGGCACACTTACACACACATATGCACATACATGCACACCTATGAATGCACACATACCCATACGCACACACACATGCTCATACATAGGCATGCATTCATACACGTGTGCGTGCATGCAATGAGTGGTTGCATGGTATGATGGTTACATACACAGGCTTACTACGAACTACTGTGTGAATTTGTGCAAGTTACTTAACTCCTCTGTGCCTCGGTTTCCTCATCTGTGAGATGGCAGTGGTGATCATGATGGTACCATCTCAAAAAGCTGGGGTAAGGATTATGTTCATTAACGCAATGAAGTGCATCCATGTTTGCTGCTTTCATTATAATACAGCTCCCACATATTACAAACACAGACGTGTGTGCTTTGTAATTAAGAAGAACCCTGAAAGAGGAAGTCTGGGCTGTGGTATTGGAGTTTGCTGTTTATTTAACGTGTCATTTCCCAGAAGGCTCGGGAGGCCCTCTGACAGATATCCCTGGCTCGGCTGTTATCTCTGGGATGACACAGCATGAAGTACAACCTTTCCATCAACAAAGCTCGTGGTCTCATCCCCCACCAGCCGACTCACCTTAATGATCTGGCCCCGGCCTGGCTGAAGGAGGGGATCGGGCTGCAGTGCCCCCGCCCACACTCCAGTGCAGTTGATAATCACATCTGCGCCTCCTCGGGCGACCTAGCAGCGGTCAACACGGCAAGCAGGAGTGGGAGGGATGAAGACACTGGTGAAGGGCACCCCTCCCTCAACCCTTGTCCTGCCCCCTGTGGCTCTCTGCTCCCTCAGGGAGGAACCATTTGGGCCTGGCTCTAAATCTGCACTTCACCATTTACCTATTGTGAGACCTCAGAGAATTCCTTCAGTTCCCTAAGCCTCAGCTGCCATGGCCATAACATGAGGCAAGTTGTGTCTGTCCATAAGGTTTTCACTGGCTAATTTTCAGACGGAGATCACCAGGCCTTCCCTCCTAGTCTGTCTTAATCTGGAAGCCTGCTGAAGTCTGTCTACTGTGGGTGCAGAAACATCAACCCACGTGTCAGTAGGAAGCAAGCGTCTGAAACATGGCGGGCAGGGGTGCTGCTGCTACTGGGAAGAGGCAGCAGCTCTCCATCCCTAAATCTCACTGAAGCTCAGATATAAATTGACTCCAAATGGCCACCATGATCCCACTGTCACTGTGCTCCCACCGCCAACACCAATCAGAGGCTTCCTGGGACTGATAAAAGGCCCAGAGCTTGGGATTGGCCTAAAGGGACCCTCAAGAAAGTAGAGCCCAACCCCTCTTCTTCTCCCTCCCATACCCACCCCTTTCATCCTGGACGCTCACCTCCTCGAAAGACTCCACCTTCCGCTGGAAGAATTTCACTCCCCTTTCAGTTAACCTAGGATGACCAGATACATCAGAAAACCTGCCGCAACCTTTTCCCTCCAAGAGGATGGCATGGGGAGCACTTCCCAAAGAACCTTCTGTGGATGTTAGTCCCACAGGATGCTCCTTGAGAAAATGGCCAGGTAGTCAAATGAGTTCACAGGCATGTTGCTCTTCTAGCAATGGGAAACCCGAGATGGTCCCATAACCTCACTGGGGAGACGGGAATGGAGGAGAGCCTCAAGGGAGAAGGGACTTGCTCAAGGTTATACAGTGAGTCAATGATGGGACTGGGACTTGAACCCAGGTCTCCAAGCTCCTAATACTTCCTTCTACCACCATATTGCCATGTAACGTCAAAGGGGATGAGATGTGGGATGGAGGAGGGGCAGGCTTGGACCAATGCTGAATGCCCTTTGTCACAAGCTGGGCATGAGGAGGGAAGTGGGCTCTGAACACCCTCCCTCTAAATACCCCAGAGGAAAAACATCTGTCACTACAGAAATATGGTTGAAATATCAAAAGAATAATAAGTAAATCTTATAAATGCTTATGTCATCTATATAATCTACATTACGTAGATAATTTCATGTACAGAATTTATTCTAGAAAAGAAAAACTGAGTGAGTTCTTCCCTGGAAGAGGCTGGATAGAAGTCCTAGGTATCCCAAAGTTAGGAGAAAAATCAAGCCTGAGTACAAGAGTTCTAACCTGGCTATTAATTAGAACCACCCAGGGAATTTCTTGAGGAGATCTGGTGGCACAGTGCCTAAGACATTTGACTGCTAATCACTAGGTTGGTTATTCAAACTAACCAGCCTTTCTGAAGAAGGAAGACAGGGCACTCTACTTCTGCAAAGATTTACCATCAGAAACCCACTGAGAGTCACCAGGAGTTGGAATCAACTGGATGGCAGTAAGTTTGGTTGTGGTTTTCAGGGAATTTCTTATAATACAAATTCCTGAGCCCACCTCAGAGGTTTTGATTCAGTAGACACAAATTAGGATATGAGATATGTACTTTTGATAAAAGCTACCATTCCAGATATTTTTAAAAGCTTAATAAGAAATAGTGGAATCTTCCTTAATATGACTATATATGAATATCAGTGTAACTGTATTTCTCAAGTCAGTGTTTCCTTAATGTGGAACTGTAATAGTTGGAGCTGCATGTCAACTTGGCTAGACCACAATTCTGTGTGGTTTAAGCAATTGTGATGTGGGTTGTTCCCATGATGGGATCAGATATATATGTTTTGAACAGCAAATCCGTCGAAAGGGCATTTCTCTAGGGGTGTGGCCTGCTTCCAGTATATTTACGGACATCCTGGGAAAAGAGACACTCTTCTGTAGATGGGATTCTGTTGTGCTGCCTACAACTGTCTGTGAGCGAACAATCCACCATTTGGCCCAGAGATCTTGGATTCATCATTTGTTGGAGTCAACAGACAGTAAGTATACTGCTTGCCAACCTTGACCTTGTCAACCCCTGCAGCTGTGTGAGTCAGGAAAAGCCTCCAGCTTGATGTCTGATCCAAGAACTTGGGACTTGCAAGCTTCTGTATGTGTGTAAGCCATTTTCCTAAGATAAATTTCTCTTTCTCTCTCTCTCTAAACTTTACTGGTTTTGCTTCTCTAGAGAACCCAGTCTAACACAGGAACATTCCAAGATTACTATTAAATTCAGGAACAAGTCAGGGACCATCACTACCACTCATATTAATTAACATTGTTTTGGAGGTACTGGCCAAAGCAGTTAGACACGAGAAAGAAAAAAAATGAGGTCTAAAAAGAAAAGGCTACTTATATTTTGCAGATAATATATCTGAAAAACTTAAGAGTCAATTTTAAATTATTACATAAACATTAAGAGATTTTTGTAAGCTTGTTAATCAATACCACATGTGAAAAGTTGTCCAGGTGATTCAGATGCCCAGCCAGCTGTGTAAACCATTGTCTTTGTGTACGGTGATGTTCAGGACCAAGGATAGTTCCACTTAGCCTAAGGGTCTGCATCAGGCTTTGGGGTTGGCCAGTACAGAGAGGTATTCTATGAACCAATCTCTGCTACTACCTTGGTACCTGGGAGATGCTTTCCTCAAGCTGAAACTCAAAAGCTCACCTTTCAGTCAGCCACAGCAAATAGCTCTTCCCCTCCAAAATCATGCTTGTGTTGAACCAGCCATAGCTAGAGTCACAGCAGCCAAAAGGAGAGAATAAAGTGTCAGAATCAGAACTGGTTTTGAAGGCTGTCAAAGGGAGGGGGGAGCAGTCTTGTTCTGAGGGCACTAAGGGGTACAGCCAGGACCACTGGCTGAAATTCAAAAGGATTGGGGGAAGTTTTTAGCTCAATGCAAGGAAACGTTTATCTCAGACAAAGCCATCCTTGATACTGTGATATGCAGTGGAAATTGGACATGCATTTGTAGAGGGGATCTAGGTATGGAGGGAAGTGAAGTGAGATTCAGAGAGGCATCAGGCTATAGACAAAAGAAGAGAGAGGTTTTGTGGGCTCAGGACCATAGTCGCAGAGGACATCAAGCTCAATTGGCATAACATACTACACAAAATATTGTTTCACCTCCTACTGAGGCGATAGTACTGGGACCTTAAAAGCTCGCAAGCTGCCATCTAGATGCAACAATGGATCTCGCCTCATCCAGAGCAAAGAAGAATGAAGAAAACCAAAATTCATGGAAACAGTTAGTCCTAGCGACTGGTACACCATCCAATCTGCAGCTTATATGACTATGAGACCAGAAGAACTAGATGGTGCCCGGCTACTACTGTCAACCACTTGGAAGAGGATCTATGTAGGAGATCC